AACAGACTAGAAATAGTCCCAATGATGTGTTGTAAAAAAGTACAGATTATACAGACGACATACATATACTACAGTTACTACAGTTACAAACGAAAATAACTTGGAAAGCATTGTCAAGTTACTAAAAATTTATAAGTCTTAAATTTTACACTTAGCTGTTGGGTATCAAGCGCCTTCGGTCAGCAAAAAAGGCAGAGAATCTTCGGCGAAGCATATTCCGTGTCAAGTGGAAATCGAACATCGACGCTACTCGGTTGAACACTAGCTGCAAGCCGTAAATAGCGCTCCCTATGCTATAATTAGTTCGAAGAAGTGGAAGTCTCAGCATAAGACTGTTGCGTAGTGATCGAGGTTGAACATTAATGTTCACTTGTTGCAGAATTGCTTCGCAGTCAATTCTTCCTTGCAGAGTATCAGCGACGGTTAAGGCTCTGAAAACATCTCTTCGGATACGTAAGGGCTCGATATTGATCAATTGGCAGCGATTCTCGTAGCTTGGAAGACGAAGTGGGTATCTCCAAGGCAGCTTACGGAGCGCGAAGCGAAGAAAACGTCGTTGAACAGATTCAATTCGCTCGGCCCCATTATTGTAGTTCGGGCTCCAGACAGCAGAGCAGTATTCCAACGTAGATCGTACGAGAGAGCAATAGAGCGATTTCAAGCAGTAAATGTCCGTGAAGTTCTTAGTAATCTTGAAGACAAAGCCAAGCGTTCTGGACGCTTTGTCGACGACATACGATATATGGTGTGAGTATGTCAGCTTTGAGTCTAGAAAAACGCCTAAGTCTTTCACGCAGTGCACCCGTTCGATAGTCGTGCCTAGTAGTTTGTAGTTGAAAATAATCGGTTGTTTCTTGCGTGAGAAAGTAATAACTGTACACTTAGCTGGGTTGACCACCAGTCGGTTTAGACTACACCAGTCAGCAAAGATGTCAATCTGATTTTGGAGAGAACGGCAGTCGGCGAGTGAGCGGATGCGCAGAAAAACTTTCAGATCGTCTGCAAACGATAATCGTGGCTCTGTGATAACATGGTGAACATCGTCGAAGTAGAGGAGAAATACCAATGGTCCCAGATGGCTGCCCTGAGGTATATCGGACTTTGCGCAGAAGCTTGCTGAGCGACAAGTACCCAAAGTTACTGTCAATTGGCGCTCCGTGAGGTATGAACGAAACCATCTCAAAAGATTTCCACCGATCCCTAGCCTATCAAGCTTAGCGATCGCAATTTCGTGGTTCAGCTTATCGAAGGCTGCCGTAAGATCTGTGTAGATAACGTCCGTTTGGGTCCGAGCAATCAAACTGTCTGTGATGTAAAACGTTAGGCACAGCAGGTTCGTAGTTGTGGAACGCCCAGTTATGAATCCGTGTGAATTTGTACTTAGATATTGTCTGCAATGCGCATTTAGGGACTCTATGACAAGTTTTGATACAGCACTCAGCGATGTGATTCCCCGGTAGTTGTTTACGTCGCGTTTGCTTCCCTTTTTATCAACAGGAAACATATCCGCAGTCTTCCAGCAAGACGGAAAGATGCCGCTGGAAAGAGAGAGCTGGAATATGCGGCGCAGTGGATCTAAAAGACAAGTGATGTTCTTTTTAAGAATAATCGACGGAACACCATCGGGTCCAGCCTTAGTTGAAGTCTTAAGTTTAGATGCTGCTCTAGAAATCGTATCTGTAGTGGCTTCGACCATGCTGAGCGTTTGGTTGATCAAAGGAACATTACTGGCCGCGGAAGTAATGATATTAGCGGAGAGTTGCTCGGCTACAAACACACTAGCAAATTTGGCTGAGAACAGGTTGCAAATGTCTTGTTGATTTCCAGCAGTTTCACCATTAAAAATCATGGAAGAGGGTAAGCCGACTTCCCTGCGTTGCTCATTTACGAAGTTCCAGAAGGATTTCGGGTGTGATTTTAGCCGCCGTTGAATCCTCCTTTGATAGCGTTGAAAACAGAGACGACTTAACCGCTTATACTCGTGGTTGAGTCTGACATAGTAGCATTTCAGTGGCAGATTGCGGAGTTTAGTAAATCTTCTGAGAGCAGCCTTCTTAGTTCTTTTCAACGAGCGAAGATCTTTTGTCATCCACGGGACGCGAGAGTCGATATGGATGATCTTTTTGGAAACGTGTCTGTCAATGACATATGCCAAGACGTGAGAAAAGGTTTGTGCAGCAATGTTGACGTCTACAGGATCTAGAATATGCTCCCAATCTAGATTAGACAGCACATGGACGATACTGCAATGGTCAGCTCTACGGAAGTCATATGACACAGCGTTTGGAGTGCTGGTGAAATCATGGACAATATTATTTTCGATCACGATAACTAAAGCAGGGTGATGATGCACTACCTTGACTAAAGGTTCGGGTGCCGTGGAGAGGAAAGGAGCTGTATCACGAGCACTCACAAAGCAGAGATCCAGGGTGCGGTTTTTTTCATTCAACAGGCCATTGATTTGTGACAGAATTGCGGTACTATAACTGTCCAGGAGCTGGATGGTTCCTACGTGGAAAGATGAACGCTCGTGATCAGGACAAAAGAAACCACTATGGGTTGGAGTCCATGCAATGTCCGGTAGGTTAAAATCGCCAAGAACAATAACTTCGTCGGAAGGGCCTGCTTTGTCTGAAGCGGCCAAGACGGATCGACAATGTGCGTCAATAAGCTCCAAGTCACGGGTTCGATCTGGAGGAATGTACACTGCACAGAGAAGCAATTGACGATCACCAAGTTGAATAGCCACCCACATTTGTTCAACCCTGTTCCAGGAATCGTCCTCGATAACTTCTGCTTTCACCTTGGAATTAACTGCGATAAGGACGCCTCCCCCAGTAGTTTTCCTACTATTATTCGTGTTTCGATCGCAGCGAAATATTTCGTAGCCAGCACCAAAGACATAGTTTGAAATGGTTCGATAATTGAGCCATGTTTCGGTCAAAACTAAAATGTCGTAGCAGTGATCCATGACGGCCAGATGATAATCTTCCACGAGGCCGTTCATACCACCAACGTTCTGATAGTAAATCGTTATGTCCGACCTCCTTTGTTCGGGAACAACGGAAGGTTCAGCGTGTAGTTGCATTTGGGAGCTGGTAGATGTCACTTGACGGAAGAAGGATGTTCGAGTAGGGTCGCTGGAAACCAAGATATTTTCAGGCGATAATATATTCGTCGGTTGATCATACTTGCCAATAACAGGAATGTGGAAGACCACTTCTCCCATCTCAAACGCAGGGCCGGGACGACTGCTGGTTGCTGGCAGGAGGGGCTCGACTGCGATGAGTGGAATAGGGGCTTCCTCAGGGCGGACGGCAAGAATGCGTCCCGGAGTGCAGTTGACTGTGGTGGCTCCATGTTGCCGACTGGCAGATGTTTGAGGTGAGTTGAAGGCACTGGTATTATGATATCATATGATATAGTAAGTGTGTACTTGCCTAATATAGCAAGCTGGGAGACCCTCAATCCACATCTAAACTCAGGGCCAGGACGACTTGGATGAACGCTGGCTGCAATAGGCGCGACTGATTTAGAGGAACTGGGGACTCCCAAAATGCTTTCTACGTTGCGTCCTGGTTGAGAAGTAATTTGCCTCAATAGATTTTCAGAGGGCATCACCGAAAATTCGCTTTGGATCATTCAATCAGCAAATTGTTGCAAGACGGTGAGTAGCTGTCCATTTAATGTACATCAGATGAATTGTGCTACCTGTTTCCTTTTTCTTTTGTTCCCGATCAACTCTGCGATGACGGCCTGGACTTGACTGATCCAAGGACAACTCCATGCCATAGGACGAAATTAATTTTTATGCTGAAGACCTTTTTTTGTTTTGTTCTGTACGTAACACCACTGCGACCAGTAATTTGATCTATTTTAGTATATCCCGTGTCCTTAGTTTAGTACATGTAGTATTACTCCATCACTATTGAGAAATGATGAAGTATTCGATTTTTTTTACAGTTGTCATTCTTGCCTTTATTGCAAGGATCTCACTCTAATTGTAAGGACCCGCTCTTTATACCCTTCGGAGTATTTGAACACCCTCCAAAGGCGCGCCCCTTTGTCAATCAAAAACGGATTCCTTCGCAACAAAATCAAGCAATAAGACCGATAATGACCATGCATCAGACACTAAGTCTTAACCACTTCAAACTATGGAGCAACGATTATAAGATTAGGAATCACATAGATGACGACTAACTAACTCATTTTGTTCTTGTTTCAAGGTCATCCTCGGTGGACAAAGCCGAGTCTTGTCACTATCAACAATGCATAGAAAGTAACAAGGACTAAGATGTGTTCCTTTGATTACTGAACAATCATGTTCCCCTAGCTTGAAGTAGTCAGGACTAGGAATCGGTGGTAGATCTTACATCCCGTAACGTACCACGAAAAGGTGATCTGCCTACGTTACGGGGCAAATTTCTACTTTGTTTGACTCTTATTTCTCTTCGATCCACTTCCACAGCTATTAGTTGAGAGCTTTTTATGCCAACCAATGCATGAATTTGTATTTTATGTTACATGCACAATGATACTGAAATCTTGAAAATTTCCAACCCCAAAGATTTGATCGACAGGCCCGGGAATCGAACCCGCCGCCGCTGGCTTGGTAACGTTCACTTACTGATTATGCTACCTGAGGTTATTGGATGCAACCACCTATTTATAATCTCACATATAAAAAAGACTCCGGATTTATATTTGAATGGGGACCACCCTAATCAACTTTTTTTTTTCATAAAAAGAAGAACCATTGAATATGTAAAAACTTCTAGGAGACACCAACGACCAAAAACCAATATTGTTTTGCATGCATAATGCACTAGTGTTAAAGGCAGACGTTTTCAAAGTTTACAAGTTTTCAAGGTGTTCTCGTAATCTCCCAAGAAGATGTAAACTAAAAAAACAGATCGTTTTTCTTCTTAGTAACAGTAACCCATCGCAAATAAACGGAAGCTCCACGACAACTAAAAGGGAGGTTAAAAAATAAATAAACAACCAAAGAAATACTATTATTGCAACTTGTTCTTTATTCGACTACCTATAAAAATATAGCTCACAATGTTTTTTTTTTTCGATGAAGAGAAAACTGGTGTTGCACAATATGCTTGTTTTTTTTACCATGAACCAGCGCGATAGTGATCTGATGCTAGGAATAAAATTCTTACTAATAAAAACAAAAAGAAGGTAATATAAATGAAACGTATGATGTTATTCCTTTGTCTATCACTGTTTCTATCTCTGTCTTTCGCTCTTCCGCGTTATAAATAAATTATATAAATCGTAATTAATTGTGTTGCTTATTCTTCCGAAATGCAGAACGTAGCAGTGTTAGGTAGCTTCAAAAGGTTTTCAAGACGTCCTTACCGATTGATTTACGTTATTGTGCCATTTTTGGTCTAGAAGGTGGGAAGTAACATAGGAAAAGAAAAAAAAGAAACGTCCCGCGCTGTATAATTTGACCACAATGAAAAAAAAAATCACGGAGATGTTTTTTTCTTCTAACAAATACAAGTGACAAAATAAATGTATTATCTGAGGGTGGCTCTTAATTTGGCAGATTGAAAAAAAGCGATCTAGATAAATAGAAAATAAAGGCAAAACGGAGGAGGAAAAGTATTTGCACGATACCAAGGTATTATACCGACATGTTTCCTTAACTTTAGTCGTTTCGCTTCGTGGGCGGCACCAGATGGGATGGCAGTGAAGTCGGTAGTTCGTTGCCTTCCATTTTCACGTTGATTAAATGCATCGCCAGGGCAAACTCTTCAATATCGAGGAAACCATCCTGGTCGTAGTCGGACAGTTTCCAGATTTTACTCAGCACATTGTTCGGTAGTTTCGATTTGATCAGCTCCAATTTAGCCGCTAAAAGTAGACGGGCGAAGCGGTCAGTCGGGTGCACAAATAAGATACGGCATTGACAGAACTTACCAGCACCAGAGATCTTTCCGTCGATCGGGTTCAGTGATTCGAACAGCGGGTCGGTACGCTCCCGGTCGCGGTTGCAAATCCAGTCCACTTCGCCACAACCTGCGTCGATACCTTCACCTTTGCGGTAGCCGAATGGTGATACTACATCTTCCACTCCGTCGAAGGCTCCACCTGGATCGAGAGGAAAGAGGATAAGATGTTTCAGTAATTAGTAATGGAAGATGATTTTTCCTAGCGTAATATAGTTTAAAAGAACACTAATTAATATAATTACCCACTGCATTTGAAATTCGCATATTAATAGCAATAAATTAGAGATGTAATAGCCACACATGACCGCCAATAGCTCGGCTCAAATGATGCGTATCATTTCTCGATCGGCCGAGGGAAATCTGTGCTGATGCGTAGCATATGTTTTTCACGTGCGGAAATGAGTGATCGAATTGTATCAAGTTCAATGATACCTGCTGCCTACATTTCACATGTGAAGCAAAAGTGCAAACAACACGGTGATAGTTGTTAGGTGGCACGCTGCCAGCTCTGCTACATTTCATGACTATTTAATCGCTGTATACACATGAATGTTTTGTTTGTGGCATTGCCATCAACGCTTGTACCCGATGGAAGTGGTGGAAATGATAGACATAATAGCTACGATGAGTTCATAGAACGGTTTAATGTGAGAATACGTTCACGTGCTAGCCACATATCTTGCTAGACACTTAATATTACCACCAGTGGATTAGTCATTGAATACTAATGCAGTTTAATATGTCTTATGATTGAACTTGGTGTTATACACGTTCTGACCAAGTTCTGAGTCTAGATTAAGTGATATATGCATACAGAAGTGGTTATCACCAATGAATTAATCATTGAATGTTGATGTAATTTGCTGTGAAGCATGAGGTTTTAGTACTATTCAAGTTGTTACAAATACTGCCGCTCATCACAAGTCGGTGTTGCGCTTTTCTTAAAACTTATTTTTTTTTTCAATGGAGATGAAACGTATGGACACAGACAAACAGACATAACTCTCACAAGTTGTTCATCGAACAAGCATTTAACGGTAAATTTAAATGTATCGTAGTTGGTAGTACCGCCACCTGTGGCGCGCATAGTCAATTCCCTTACGTTTGACGTTTACACAATACCGCCTACCCGAGCAGTGTCGGTTAACAAAATGAGAGCAAATGAATATCAATCTTGCTATTGATATCAAAAAGAAAACTCGATTTGATTTCAACAGTCAACTGAACAAGTCCGAAATCATATTAAGTTTTCACTATGATATGACGGGATTCAAAAATGAATGCAGCCTAATTTCAAGTTTTGCTGTTAATAGCTTATCTAAAATAAGCAGGATAACAGGATACAATCAGACCGTAATTTTTCTGTTGCGCTCATTGCCACTTTCACTTACTTCAAAAGTATTTATAAAACAACAACAAGTGTTTCCTGTAAAATAGGTCTGGACAACCTACTCTGCATAAGAAGAACTATAGTATTTTTCGGTTTTCACGCGTGTTAAAACGATCTTCACGGTTGCTCTTTCTGGAACCTTAAAAATTAATCTAAAAATGGCCAGAAAACGGCAAACAGCTGCTCAAAAAGAGGTGCTGAAGATGGCTTGAGCATTTTTTTTGCTTTGGTTTGTTTTTTCCGTCGATCTTGTTTTCCGTGCTGAGCACCAATGCTACCGACGTGCCAGGAAGGCAAACCGGGGACCAACGGCTTTACTTCCCATCCGAAGGAAGGCGTGATCAGAGATGTTATGCCTCAGAACATCCCGGCGGCGCCGACTGGGATTGCACCCAGGCCTGCTGGGGTGAGAGGTAATCACGCTTACCACTACACCACCGGTGCCGTTATGATGGCTTAAGCATGAAACGAAGAAGTCTTACAGGAGGAATCAGACGAACTAATTTTTCTATAACCCCACTACTGCTTTTTATTATAGCCCCCACAAAAAAAAAACTTCGCAAGGATATCAAAAAATCAGCGCTGCAGCAGAACTCTTTGATGAGACACTTCTCCCCCTTGAAGGTGTCGAAATCGATTCATGCACGGAGGCCACAGATGCATTGGCCGTTGCATTTTGTGGTAGTCGTGAGAGCCAGGGAATTCCAGAGGACGCAACAAAAGCTATTGGGCCGACCGATAAGCAAGGTACTTTTTATTTTTATTAAAACTATAAATCAGCGTTGATTGTTCAAAATAATGAAGCTGATATTGTAAACAAAGATTAAAACGTCAATTTGGCAAAACTCCTGCTCGCTCACTATAATCAACACCACCATCAGATTTCCTCAGGATAGTGATGTTAGTTTGTGTGGGTGAGCTAAAAGGTTCAGCAAATTGACGTTTACAAAAGCAGATTCGTCATTCTGAAAGATCTTCCTTGACTTATATTAGTTATTTATTATCAAATCAGTATGTACCTGTGGACTACAAGTGAAAGTGTATGAACTGGAGGCCCAAGTGATTGAACTTTAAGCGGAACATGCGCAAGCCAGAGAAAAGGTGGCAAGCCTCGATAAAGTAGACCAACTGGAGGCACAGGTGATTGACCTACGAGCAGAATTAGAGCAAGCAAAAGAAAATATGTCAAACCTCAAGAAGAAGAAACACAACCTTGAAATTTCTCGCTTAAAACTACAGCAGGCCCTGGTTTCAAAAGTTCTATCTACCCGGATAAAACCATTTAGAGATGAAGAAGGAATCCCATCCAGCGAAATCATACCACCTACTTGTTCATCAAGTTTTTAATGAAAGCTATCTGGCCGGTGGGGTTCGAGGGCAGGTTGGTAACGAATAATCCAACAGGGCACGAAAAATCGAAACAAAATGAAAGCTTCAACGAAGACGAAGATCAAGTCGCCGGACCGAGTACATCAATAGCAGTTCAATCTGTTGTTCGCACCGTGTTAGAAGATGAAGTCGCCGGAACAAGTACTTCATAAGCAGTTCCATCTGTAGTTCATATAACCTTGGAAGAGCAAAAGGTTACATTTGTTAAAGGTAAATAATCCATCAGTAAAATATGCTTACTTAGTATAAATTCTCATTTTTGTAGCTTGTCTATTGGATCGACGCATTTATTTGCATGATGAAAGCACAACTGACGCCAATAAGTTTTGTTTTTCATTTTTTTAGCAATGACTCGATTTTACATTGTAATGGCTGAATAAGTTTTATTTCAGGAATTGTAAACTTGTTGAGCCTACAGTCGTTCACGTGAAGTTGAATTAGCCTCAGGCAGAAAGCCTCTGTAATACATGGATTTGTATTCAATTACTTTATAAGAGATTCAATTTAAGTGAAAACAAAAAAATCATTCAAATTTGTTTTTTTGATATTACATACTTCTAATAATAACAATGAAAGCTAGTTTTGATATCAATGACGAAAATCCAACATCAGAATAAGCAATCAATTTTATATTCATTTACAGCAGATTGAAAACTAAATATGCTTTGGATTTATTGTTATTGAACGTGAAAAACTTATTTTGAAAGCAAATTTTAAAATCAATGAGTTCGAAACCAGTAATCAAATTGATTTTATTGAATGCAGGATTAGATTTCCATTTGATTCAACAGTGTAAAATTTTGCTCTCATTTTAGATGTGTGAGCCAAAATAAGATCAAAATGAGTAATCAAAAACATTAACATCACAATAGCAAATTAGAGGCGTCGCGTGCCTCATTTGTTTACCTGTGCACCAAACTTTGTTCGTTATAGTTTACCACCACATATTAGTTTTTGCTTTTTTTTTGTTTCAATACTCCATGAATTCGAAGGACATATTCTCTTTTACTATATTAATCACTGCCGTAACATTTGAAGGGCATAACATCTTGTGTAAACAAAACTTGTATGGCCCTTTTCGCGTTAACCGAAGTAGGAGGAATGGCAAAACTTAGCTAATTCTCGTTTTTATCATAAGAAAGTCGAAGAGTTATCTTTCGACTGAAGCGTAATGAAGAATATCCGTTAAGCACTTCCGAAAACATTTTTTGATGCAAAACAGTGTCAAAATCTAGAGAAAATTCATGAAGTCCCCTGGGTAGCAAACTTGAATTAATGAACTCTTTATTCATCAGAACAATACTATCAGAATGGACCAGGGAAGCTCAACTCAAGCCGGCGCAACCACCGGAGAGATTTGATTGAGAGATTTCCAACTGGCAAGAGAGTGAGAGCGAGCTTTTGCGCTCTCTTTCTCCATTAAGCTGGGTTTAGACTAGGCAAGTCAAATGATCAACTCAGTTGAATTCAATTGGCTTGAAAAGTTGAGCCTGGTTCAACTTTTTTCAATTCAAGTGAGTTGATCAAGTCAGATGAATGGCATAGTATACATGTTCAATTCGCGTTCACTTTGTCAAACCCTGCACATGTCGAAAGAACTGTCAATTTAGATTTCAAAACTAAATTGTATCAGGGATCAAAAGTAAATACTTCCATAATGAATTATCGGAAAATTACTCTAGCTTCGGCAGGCGTAAAAATAAAATCTAGATAAACATTTCAAAAGGTCCTATCTGACATTTGTAAACAAATCGAGTTTAATGCTTATCTGTACTGCAGAGCTCAGCATCTCTTAGTATTTTTAAGCGTAAATTTTAACTATCAATATTCAGAAAATTATAAAAATATGTGAAAAAACGTCCGTTTTGAAATTTTTTATAATATCTCACAGCTCTCTGATGGGACCTCAAACATGTTTACAGTCCAATCTGTAATTCAACCAAAAAAATTGACAAATGCTAAAAGGACCTTTGTTTCATCTCGTGTTTCACGTGGAATAGAAAAACTAAAACTCATAATAGTTTGTTGGAAAAGCTATACTAATATCAACATGAAGCTTTAGTGTGATAACACCGTTGTAGACCACTTTGATGTGGATCTCGATTCACTGGAGGACAGTGATGTAGATTTTATCGTATAACATGAATGAATATAAATTATTGATGAACAGCTTGAGCTAATAAATGTAAAACAAATCATGTAGAATGAAAAAAAAAACAGTTGGTTTATAAAAATATACCGAATATTAAAAAAATATGCAAATTTTCCAAACACTTACATTTTCTTTGCATACATCAGATAAAAATAATACACAAGTTCTTAATATAAACGTTGTTTACTTAATAAATTAACAGAATAGT